TGGTGCCGTGGCTTCTGTAAGTCGTGGTCCAGTACTTAGCGACCGGTATCAGTGTCTGGTTCTGGATGAGATTGGATCTAGACACAGTCAGTTGAATGGATTTCCTGATATCCAGGTACTAAACTAACAGCTTTTTTTTTTTCCACATATGTTTTTTTGTGTGTGTATGTATGTATGTGTGTGTGTGTATATATATATATATATATATATATGTGTGTGTGTGTATATATATATATATATATATATATGTGTGTATATATATATATATATATATATGTGTGTATATATATATATATATATATATATATATGTGTGTGTATATATATATATATATATATATGTGTGTATATATATATATATATGTGTGTGTATATATATATATATATATATATCCTGTATGCCTTTGTTTCTTCTTGTAGGTGAAGGGACAGACTTCACGTCCCCTAACTTTTGTGTATCATTTTGCACGAGTTGCAATAGACCATTTGTCCCATAGCTGTTTGTATCAGTAGTTGGGATAGACTAAATGTCCCACAGCTGACATCTTTATGCATTACTTTGCAGGGGAATAAACACAGTGTTTATATAGATCTTTTCTACCTTTCTCTCTCTGCAGTGGAGGGAATGACTCCAATCTCCACATTCTGTTCCTATGCCGTCATGATTTATACTTATGTGTTGTTAATTTGTTTTTATTGAGGTCCAACTTGACATTTTCAGTGTTATTCACTTAGGAGAGAATTTAAAATGAATTTAAGGTCAAAATATTGTTACTGACCAGTTGATCTAAGTCCCCTATGTTTTCAGTTTGGCTACTCTGCCCTTACATATGAAATTCACTTTAAATTCTCACTTTAGTATATAACCCGGTTAGACCGTTTCTCTTTTTGAGGTTTTTCCGATATCCTGCCAATGTGTGCTATATTTTCTCCTCAGACACCTTCAGCCCAGGATTCCAATTCAGAGATAGTAACCATTGCATACCTCTGTCCTCTGGTCCTACGCAAAGAGCTAGAAAGCCTGTTGGAGAATGAAGGTGGGGACTTCTTGTCACAGCCTGAGTTAGTCAACAGTCATCCCATCATTTATTGGAACTTAGTCTGGTACTTCCAACGTTTGGGGCTGCCTAGCAACCTTGTTCAACTAATCCTGACATCCAAACACGTCCGGCAACTCCCACAGGTAAGCCTTGGCTAACATTGTTGGTGTCTAACATGAACTAGGTGAATTTGAGATTTGACATGACTAAGAAAGTTGGAGGCCACAAGACAAGTCAAAGTCCTAGTCTCCTAAATTTAATTTATATTCCAAACATTACCAGGGTAACTGAAATGGTACTGTATTGTTCATCTGAGGGATGTGATTTCTAAACCAGTTACTCTTGTCTCACAGGTACATGAACCACTGCAGGTTAATGTCCACCTCTTATGGGATGTGTTGGTGCAAGATCCAGAACGCTGGCCCCCCTTGTATGTTATTTGGAAACTGCACAGTGAGTTTATCTATAAGGGGCATTAACCAAAATGACTAACCGGGGCAGTTTAGCTGTTTAAGTTACTATTGGTTATTTTTCTTCTGCAGGAAACCTCCCAACACATCTTCAAGGCTGGCGACACCACACTCATCCCTTTACCTTAGAGTTTCTGGAGAAGATTCTCAACTTTATAGGGATGAATGAGGTGCACAAGGCAATCTCCTTGTTCTTAAACATACTTGAAGAGCAGAGGTCTTCTCCACAGACCATCCAAAGGTACAATGATTGTCTTAGATGTCCTGTTATGAACAATAATTCTTTGCATTGTTACAATAAGACATTATCGTCTTCTCTTTAGGGGGATATATCGAGAAATGCTGCTATTGACTCTGGCTGCCTTAGGAAGAGAACATATGGATGTAGGTGAGCGCATTCTAGGAGCATTTATGTAGGAAAAAGAGGGATTCACTTAGAACTGGCTGATGATACTACATAACAGAAGCTTTCACGGTTATACTATACACAGAATATAAAAACAAAATTGGTAACTGAACACAATACTCTAGGTGAGATCTTTCCATTGATCTATAAGGGGGTCTCACTACCTCTCTATATCCTCCTAGAGATCTGCTCTGTAGATCTGAACACAATACTCCAGGTGAGATCTTACCAGGGATCTATAAAGTACTATCACTACCTCTCTATATCCTCCTGGAGATCTGCTCTATAGAACTGAACACAATACTCTAGGTGAGATCTTACCAGGGGTCTATAAAGTACTATCACTACCTCTCTATATCCTCCTGGAGATCTGCTCTATAGAACTGAACACAATACTCTAGGTGAGATCTTACCAGGGGTCTATAAAGTACTAGCACTACCTCTCTATATCCTCATGGAGATCTGCTCTATGGAATGATGCCAAAACCGGAATGATGCTGTTTATCTGTGTTTTATTTTATGTAATTTTGCTGTTAATGCCTTTTCTATCCCACCCACTATTCTGTGGTTTTGTCACGGAGAGTCTGTAACCTGCCTTTTAACTCCTTCCACAGCTGCATTTGATTATAAGTACAAGACTGCATTCAGAAAGCTAGGAAGCTCTTTGGGGAAAGAAGAGCTTCGTAAGAAGCAGGCCCAGCTCCCAAGCGCTAAGGCCCTGGACTGCCGCAAAACTTTTGGGGTGTCGCTGGAATGTTAAGCCCCATCAAAATGTGAACTGACTGGAAATCTTCGATGGACAGGCGAAATCTATTCATCTCTAAAAAGAGGCTGAATTTGGAACATGAGATGATGCTTAAGGAGTTAGGCATGCAGGAATCATGACAATGTACAGAAGGAGGGGAGGTTGGCTGTAACCACCCGTGCTGAATATCAGACACACAGTGGTTCATTTGACAGCACACAGCCTCCTAACCCTCCTTCCAAACTGTCCACCCCCACACAGGCTGGGAAAACAACAGAAATTTAACAAGATCTGTCACCCAACAGATGCCATCATAGAAGCTTGTGCGCAGGACACAAGTGAACAAGCCAGCAATCATCTGCATTGTGTGCCAGAACAAGTCAGATCAGAGAAACAGGACGCTAGTCCATTTTTACCATAATATTGTGTCTCTATTTTTCACACACCCTGTGTTTAGAGTGGAATATATGACCGCAGGGCAGAGTCTCATCCTTGTTTCTGTATGGCTGTGGCATGACATGGCATCTTGGGCACCCACTCATAGCTGTTCTAGAGCTGAAAATTAAGCATTTTAACACCGCATGGCAGCTATTAATACAGCATTGTGGCTATACTATTCTGCAGTGTAACACCCATAGCAGGCACAACTAGCGACTTAATAATATATCCACAACAGGCTTGTGTTGCTTTAACAGTACTCCCTGTTACATGGCACATCAGATGATAACACAGGACCCGTCTTCCAAAGATCACTACTGCCACGTTTATCTGTGAAAAGAATGGGTCATCTGTGACCGATTTTCCTCTTGCCAAAGTTTAGCTGTTTTGTCCCGGAATACCATGAAGTGGTGAAAACGTGTGTCCTGTGTGTTGTTCTTTCTGTTGGGATGTTGAATTATATATATATAATTTTTTTATTTTTTTTGTGTTTTGTTTTTAAAGTGTACATGGGGACTCCAGACACTCATTGTTCGGCTTTTGGGGTTCAGCTTTGCCCATTTTTATGTTGTCAATATTAACAAGATAAATGTATATTTTTCTTTAATTTATTTAATGTAAGTGGGATTTTTGGGGTGTAGGGGGTCTTCTTGCAGTATTAACCAGTTGGGTTTTATTCCCTGTGAATACAAGGCCTTGTGTGAAAGAGTTGTGGCCAGTCCAGGGATTCATCAGTAAACCGTATTCTGCGTTCGTTTCCGATCTAATCCTGCCATACATAGGACAGCTACCGATTTACTCCCACCAACTAAGACAACTTCAGCTCTATACCAAGCCATGTTTCACCGTAGGGCACGTGCACATCTACTACTGCCATCCTTAGGGCAGCTTTAGATACACTCTCAACTTTCATAAAGCAGTTTCAGAACTACTAAAACCTGTATTGTTTATTTCTAGACCACTTTACAATGTACCCTGCCTTCCCTGTTAGATTTTAAGACATGTTTTTTTTTGTGTCCACTCATTATTACATTCTAGTTGAAAACAAAGTGTCTGAATTGTAAGTTAACCCTTTGAGGTGTAGAAATACATATACTGATATTAAAGTTTAATAGAGGGGTTTGAGGGTGAAACTACATGCACACAGGTGGGTTTTCATGACTAATCTACCTGTATGCCTGTAGTGGATATCCCTAATATGTCCTTTAGTCTCTGGAATTCCAGCTGCTGTGGACTACAGATTTCAAGATGCCAAATCTACTTTTTGGCTAGCAGAGCATCGAGAGAGCTGATGAATCCAGCAGTAGCTAGAATGTCAGACACTCCATTACTTTGGAAGTGCTGCTAGAAGGGGTATGTCCTCCAATTTCAGATGTCCACGGGTTACACTAATCCGATCTTTTTATGTATTGGAAATTGTTGGGAAATAAAAGGCTTGCTTTAATCATTTACAATGGGGTCTGTCTTGTGCTTCATGTTGAAGGGCAGGTGTTGAAATTTCATATTTTATTTTTTTTTGGTGGAGGGGGAGATTAAGGAAAAAAAGGGTAGATTATGGGGGCTATAGAGGATAGAGTTAGTGTTGAAGATGGAATATTTTGGTACATCTCTCAAAATAAAGTGTTTTTTTTTTTTTTTACTATCATTTAAAAATGTAGGAATTTTAATTTAAAGTTTTAGGCCATAATGGCTACATTTGTTTTTCCAATTTCATATTTTATTGTGAAAGTCAAATAAAAGTGATGCATCATATATAATATTGTTTGTTAAAAATTGTGAGTAAGGAGCAGTTAGACTGTTGACATTGTAAATGAAATACGGTACATTCACTTTTTCTTTTCTTAGTTAACAAAACATAAAAAAACATGAGAGAGAGTGTGATCAAAAAAAAAAAAGAGGCCACTTCTACGTTCAGTTACCTTAGATAGTTAGTGTTCGGTTTGTGTAGTCATTATCGTATCCTTGAGATCTTCAATAATGTGTCACATCAGACCTTATGAAAAGTAGTTAAGTCTGGTTAGGGTTACTTTTATTAACGTGTGTAGGGGTAAGACTGAGTGTCCGTCGATATAGTAAAGATCTGTCTTTGTATGATCGTTTCAGCGTTGTGAATTGGGTAACTGGACTTTGTGTAATTAAACAAAAAACAGCAAACTTAAATTAACTGAATTAACAAAGTGCTGGATTGCCCCTTTGCCCTCGCATCCTCCCTTTTTAGTCAAGGATGCTTCTAGTTTTAGGAACCTTAAATGATTAACAAGATGTTACTTGTAAAAAGTCTCGATCCGCCATTACCTCTGTCGAGAACCACGCTGTGTACTCAACACTTTGCCTTTAAAGATTTCATCTAAAGCAGGGGTAGGCAACCTTTTAGCAGCACTGTGCTGATATAGGATTGTGATGTCCTGTAGCGTGCTGATCCTATTATTTTTAAATTGAGGTATGTATGCTGCCATATGCTGCTTGTTATTTTTACTGTAATTGCTTTGTATCGTTGTATTTGTGCGTATATGAGCTATTATATTGTATATGTTCATTAGTAGTTTATGGTATCGTGTATGATACATATGAATGTGGGTGGTGTATGAGGGCTGCTTGTGGAATTGTGTGTGGATGGATATGTCACATTTTGTGTTTGGTCTAGCAGTGTGGGTGGCTTCCCTGGGTTTCAGTGGGGACCAGGCTGGCCAGGTACAGGTCAAGGACAGAAGCTGCAACAGCAGCTGCAGGCTGCTCTACTACAGTGTGGATTCCCATTCACAAGTGCTGGGAGAAAGTGATCTGAGATCACTTCCTCTACATTCTGCAATGCATAAATTGAGGATTTTCCTTCACCACCTTTTGGTATTAGCAGATATCTGAAGTTTTACTGGGACACCTGATAGGCCAGAGCCTGTTTGGCAGTAGCAGCCTTGAGTGCCGTGGAAAGACACCTCGAGTGCCATGCATGGCACTAGTGCCGTAGGTTGCCTACCCCTGATCTAAATTAAAGATATAATAGCTGCATTTTAAAAAATTCTCAGTCTGTTATTTTTTCGGTTATGACAATTTAGAAAATGTTTTATTCCAGATTACTTATTTACTGGTGAATAATTTTATTTATTCATTTATAAAATATTTTACCAGGATGGATACATTGAGATTTCTCTCTTTTTTAAGTATGTCCTGGGTAATCACTTCAGTTGGATCACAAATGCTGTATGTAATACATTCCCTTGTTCTTTCTTACTGCTTAAATTTGCAGTGTCTTGTTTAGAATATAAAAAAGGGGAACAATAAACAAAATACTTTATTCATTAAATTTCTAATTCTATATCTTTAAAGGGACATGGGTTGCTTTGTAGCAGCTGTCTCATTCAAAAATTTTAGCTGTGAATTCAGTTGCCTCACTCTGCAAGCTGCAAACGGCAGGCAAATTATTTTTTGGTATATATTTACCTGCTTATTCTTTCTTATGCTTTCCACACCCACTTCACGGGGTGACAATAATTTAACCAATCAGTGTCCTATTCCTAGGAATGCTGAAAAAGTGAATTGGGCATGCGTGACCAAGTTATAGATCTCTTCATATAGCAACATTGTCACTGGGGAGAAGAGAGGTAGTCTGATCAGTGTGATCATACAGAGCAGGCTCTGATGTTGGAGGGTTGGACTATGGGTGAGATATCAGCCCCGGCCCTGGAGGGTTGGATTATGGGTGAGATATCAGCCCCGGCCCTGGAGGGTTGGATTATGGGTGAGATATCAGCCCAGGCCCTGGAGGGTTGAATTATGGGTGAGATATCAGCCCCGGCCCTGGAGGGTTGGATTATGGGTGAGATATCAGCCCCGGCCCTGGAGGGTTGGATTATGGGTGAGATATCAGCCCCGGCCCTGAAGGGTTGGACTATGGGTGAGATACCCGCCCCGGCCCTGGAGGGTTGGACTATGGGTGAGATACTGGCCCTGGAGGGTTGGACTATGGGTGAGATATCAGTGTCCCAGCCCTGGAGGGATGGACTATGGGTGAGATATCAGTGTCCCGGCCCTGGGGGGTTGGACTGTGGGTGAGATATCAGTGTCCCGGCCCTGGAGGGATGGACTATGGGTGAGATATCCGCCCCGGCCCTGGAGGGTTAGACTATGGGTGAGATATCAGTGTTCCGGCCCTGGAGGGTTGGACTATGGGTGAGATATCAGTGTCCCGGCCCTGGAGGGTTGGGCTGTGAGGGAGATAGCGGTGTCCCGGCCCCGGAGGGTTGGGCTGTGGGGGAGATAGCGGGGTCCCGGCCCCGGAGGGATGGGCTGTGGGGGAGATAGCGGTGTCCCGGCCCTGGAGGGTTGGGCTGTGGGGGAGATAGCGGTGTCCCGGCCCCGGAGGGATGGGCTGGGGGGGAGATAGCGGTGTCCCGGCCCCGGAGGGTTGGGCTGTGGGGGAGATAGCGGTGTCCCAGTCCCGGCCCCGGAGGGATGGGCTGTGGGGGAGATAGCGGTGTCCCGGCCCGGAGGGATGGGCTGTGGGGGAGATAGCGGTGTCCCGGCCCCGGAGGGATGGGCTGGGGGGGAGATAGCGGTGTCCCGGCCCCGGAGGGTTGGGCTGTGGGGG